ATGTGGGATTGAGCATTACCAACACTTGTTTCCAATACAATGTGATTATTCAGGAAACAATTAACAATCATGCACCTTAAAACAACTGAATCAGCAACCAATTGCATTAGTATTATACGATTAAATGTCATAATTAAAAGTCAATCTACAATCAATCGCGATTATTGCAATTTTAAGCAAAACATTCAAAAATAATATCACTATTTAAGGCTCAATCCTACATAGTATTAGGAACAAGTGTTGGTAATGCTCAAATCCCAGATAGTATTGGAAATACTATTAGGAATGGTATTTAAGGCTTGGCTTTCCCACTTCCTTGTTGAATGATAGAGAACAAGGGGGACTCTCGCGCGCCGCCGCCGTCTCGTCTCGTCTCGTCTCGGGTCGTTGTCGTGGTCGTGGTAATAGTAATAGTAATAGTAATACGTGTCTTCGACACGTCCGCGCGGATACTATATTTTTAGAGAAAATTCTTAAGAAACAAAATCTTTTTTTTAACTATCACAACGAATTTTCGCAACGAATTTGGAAAATCGCAACGACAACTGTAGACTATCGCAACGAATTTGGAAAATCGCAACGAAATGGAAAATCGCAACGCGAAATGCAATGCGAATTTGCGATAGTGGAGATCGCAATGCGAATTAAAGATCGCATTGCGATTTTGTTGGTCATTTTCGTAAATTTAAAAAAAATTTGGTCAAAATCGTATATTATCTAGGATTTTTGGTCATTGAGGTTATTTTCTCTTTTTTATATCTATATTTGTTTCAAACAAGTTGTCATATTCCATTCTCGTTCTCACCCCAAATCCATAGTTTGCCATTAGCTCCAAATTTTTTTTTCCAAAAAAAAAGAAGTGCACAGCAGTTTGACAAGTGCCCAAGATTGGGATAATTGGGTCATCTTATCATTGATAAATTTAGAAAGATTGACCTTGTTTGGGTTGCTAAATCAGAATAAGGAAGCAGTTGTTGACCAACACCATCACGTATTTTGTTTTAAGGTTTACGTTTACCATTACGAGGAAATAGAGCTGGACCTACTTTCCTAAACCAAACATTTCTATTTTCTAGTTAATCGGTGCGGTTATTAAGAAGAACATTATGGGTGTCCATGCAAAAAAAAATGGTATAAGACGGATTTTGATCTGATCGATATAATAGGGATTTATTTTTTATATAATTTATGTTTAGAGAGAACTTATGGTATTTTGTTATAAGATCAATGCGGAAATATTATTTTTATATCTTTATATATTATTAGTTATATGCCTAAACTCTTCACTAATTTTGTACTCTTAACTCCACACATTGACTGAACAAAGAAAAAGCGTCTGGAAATAGCTTGAAAAGAAAATATATTCATTACTTCAACTGCTACAACGATATTGGAAGAGGAGTCAACCCAACCCAAACCACGTTCATGCTTCTTATTGGCCATCACATCAAAATACTTAAATGCCCTTTTTAAATATTCAGACCATGAATTTAAATAACGATTTATTATTGGAATAACCGTCGTTATATAACAGTTTTGGTTTCGTCTGAAATCTTTATATATTACCATGATATCTACAATTACCACTATAACCAGTGATAGAGCCACAACTTGTTTAGGTATGTGCCCAATTTGAAATTCAAATTTTATTTAGTTAGTTACTTATTTTATTGATGATACTTAACCTAAAATTTTGTTATTTTTTTTACTCCATTCAAAAATTTTATGTTGTTAATATATGAGAAAATAACCTCAGTGACCAAAAATCCCATATAATATACGATTTTAACCAACTTTTTCCGGATTTGCCAAAATGACCAACAAAATCGCAATGCGATCGCTAATTCGCAACGCGATCTCCATTATCGCAAATTCGCGTTGCATTTTCGCAATGCGATAGTTGAAAATCGCGTTGCGATGGTCTACAGTATCGTTGCGATTTTCCCAATTCGCAATGCGAATAAGTAAATCGCAACGCGAATTGGGAAATTCGCAATGCGAATAAGTAAATCGCAACGCGAATTGGGAAAATCGCAATGCGATACTGACTATCGCAATGCGATAATAAAAAATCGCAACGAGATACTTACTTTCGCAACGCGATACTGACTTTCGAAACGCGATTTACTTAGCGCCATTCGTATTAACGCGTATTTTTTTTTCAAATTCCAAACACGTATTTTTTCTTAATAAATCAGAAAATGAACCGTCCACAGTAATCGCACGCAACTCATAACCTCAAACCCAAAAACACAACACTCAGTCCCATCTCCATCTCTCACTCTCTACGGCGAAATCCGTCCCCATCTCCGAAGATTTCCGTCCCCATCGCCGGCGAAATCCCTCACAACCATTCACAGTCAAAAATCCCTCACAATCATTCAGAAATAGAAAATCAACCTCCGAGGGTTAGTTTTTTTATTTTTATTTTGAAATTTTTGCATTATTTTAGGTTTTTCATATTGAGACTGATGATAAGTTTACTGGTAATTTCAATAATAGATTAACCATTTCACTTAGATTTCTTATTAAATTCATTCGATTGCTGCCAATACTGCTAAACTGTTTAGCCTGTGAAGTTAGTATTTGTCTTTGCTTTGTCTTTTGGTTGAAGTAATGCAGAAGAAGAATAGTTTCGAGAATGAGAATCGCAACGCGGAAATGACTATCGCAACGAGATAATCGCAACGCGAAATAAAAATCGCAACGCGAAACCAAAATCGCATTGCGATTTTCATTTCGCATTGCGATTTTCATTTGGCGTTGCGATTTTCATTTCGCGTTGCGATTTTAATTTCGCGGTTGCGATTTTCATTTCGCGTTGCGATTGTCTGGTCGCGATAGTCATTTCGCGTTGCGATTCTCTCGTTGCGATAGTCATTTCCGCGTTGCGATTCTCATTATCTCGTTGCGATTTTCATTTCAACCAAAAAGACAGAAACAGTGTTGCAAATTTTAGTTTCAAGAATAAACTACTATTTATGTTTATTGTTTTGTTTTTGGTATATCTTGACAGTGTAATTTTTGGTATATCTAACTTGGTATGTTTATTGTTTTTTTGTAGAAATTTTTTTCGGCTTCATTGACATTAAGGAATAAAGTTAGCCTAGCCACTACAATTGCTTCGAAGCTTTCACCTGCACAAAGAAAATTGTTTGAAGAAACCTGCTTCGGGCCATGGCTGAGAGTACAGCATCCGGGTGGAGATGCTAGTTTGACCCATTTGTGGCTTCAGACCATGACTAGCGATCTACCTGACAGTATACAACGTGGTGAGGAAGAGATATGGTTTCATTTTCCACCGGCGTATACTTGTTTTGGGCGGAAGGAGTTCTGCTTAATCACTGGTCTACGATTCGGACACAATGATGTAGGCCGGTACACTCGTCATATCACCCGCCCATCATGGTTATCCAGGGTTTTTCCTGATGAGTCAATAGAGAAGCCGAACTTACACGTCGACGACATGAAGAAATTGTTTAATAAGAAAGATGGTTTTACTCGGATGAATGACGTCGATGTTGTCCGAGTATGCCTTCTACTACTTTTGTATGCCGGCTTTCTAGGCAGAGAGGCCAGACAACCTATTCCTCAGGAGCTAATATTATTGGTAGAGGACCTAAATGTAGAAGAAGAATAGTTTCTGAAAATGAAAATCGCAACACGAAAATGACTATCGCAACGAGAGAATCGCAACGCGAAACTAAAATCGCGTTGCGATTCTTGGTTGATTTAATAAGCAATCTAAGTGAAATGGTTAATCTATTATTGAAATTACCAGTAAACCTATCATCAATTTCAATATGAAAAACCTAATAATAATGCAAAAATTTCAAAAAGAAAATAATTAAAAAAACTAACCCTCGTTGGTTGATTTGGTTGATTTTCCATTTCTGATTGTGAGGGTGGCTCTGAGAGATTTAGATAGACGGATTTCGTCGGAGATGGGGACGGATTTCGTCGGAGATGGGTGAGAGAGTGAGAGATGGAGATGGGACTGAGTTGTGATTTTAGGTTTTAGGTTATGAGTTGCGATTACGGGATATACTGTGGACAGTTCAGTGTTCCAATATATTTATATTCATGTTTGGAATTTAAAAATAAAATACTTGGCCAGGATACTAATGGCGCTTTGAAAATCGCATTGCGAAAGTCAGTATCGCGTTGCGAAAGTAAGTATCTCGTTGCGATTTTTTATTATCGCATTGCGATAGTCAGTATCGCATTGCGATTTTCTCAATTCGCGTTGCGATTTACTTATTCGCATTGCGAATTTCCCAATTCGCGTTGCGATTTACTTATTCGCATTGCGAATTGGGAAAATCGCAACGATACTGTAGACCATCGCAACGCGATTTTCAACTATCGCATTGCGAAAATGCAACGCGAATTTGCGATAATGGAGATCGCGTTGCGAATTAGCGATCGCATTGCGATTTTGTTGGTCATTTTGGCAAATCCGGAAAAAGTTGGTTAAAATCGTATATTATATGAGATTTTTGGTCACTGAGGTTATTTTCTCTTAATATATATGTGCATACCCTAAAAATTATTTATGAATCTATTATTAATTATAGCACATATTATATCCACAATCGCGATAGATGTAACATAACAAAAAAAAACACAACCACAAATATTAATTTAAATTTCTCGTCCAAATTAATAAGAGCTTTCGGAACCTCTTTATCAACTATTTAAACTACAAGTTTTAAAATTAAAATAAGTGTTAATAGAGGGGAAAGGTTAAAAGGGTAAATTGAAGTTGCAAACCAAATCAAATTTTAAACCCATAACGCCGTCGTTTGATACAATTCTCCAACTCAAAAACAGAGAATTCTACGCACTTAAACAAGAAATAACCCTAACGCCAAAAGCTCCTATATATCGCTTGTCTCTCCCAATATTTTTCCCAACGTAAACACTAAGTAGTTAACTTGCAGGTTAAAAGTTGGAGCTCAAAAGCCTCCTTCCCTGTCTTTCCTTCTCTGTTTCAGACAATGGAGGTTGCCGCCGACGAGGACATTGAGGTTGTCTCCGAAGAACCAATATCATGGCTGCCTTCTCATGTTCTCCATGAACCATTATCAGAAACCCAGAAAACAAAGGTCTTTCTTCTTTCAATCTCATCCAACCCTTACTCTTCTATAAAAATATATATTATTGATTTGTTGTTGATTTATAGGATGCTGTTAAGTACCATTATCATCACCATCCTTCAAAGCTTCCTACTGAGCCTTTCCCTCCGGTAATGCATCAATATTTGCTTTCTCTCTCTATCTCTCTCTCTCTCCTTTGCATTTCCATTTCGAAACGATGGTGATACACTGTGAAAGTTGAAAATTTTCTCAACTCTGGTCTATAACTACTTATTTCGGGGTAAGAACGGACTCATGATTTAATGTTAGATGACGAACTTTTAAAATTTAAAATTTTAATAGAAGAAGAATTTATAAAATTTTAAAATAATTATACCCTTATTATTATTTATCTATACATGTTTATTTGTTTTAAATTTTTTCTATTTTAAATTCTAAAAGAAAGAAAAATTCAACTACTTTAAAATTATATTAAAACAATATAACTGTAATTAAATTATTCTTGACTTTAAGTAAAATTAGTAACTTTAATTTTATATTTAATTTTATTATATATTAATTTTGAAACAAATTCATTAATTTTTTAAAAAATTAAATTTATTTTATCACAAGTAAAATATCACATATTTTTTTATAAAAAATAAATTTTGAACTTAGTTATTTTAAATATTTTATTAATTAAAATTTTCAAAATATATATTTAAAAACTATTTTGTTCTTATTCCTCTCTCAAATTTGAAAAACAAATCACAAAAATGATCTTAAATTAAAAAAATAGTAAATGATTACCTGTTCTTGATAATCATCGTTACATTAATAGTTGGATACAAGCATACTCAGTTCCAAAACTATACAGTCGTTTATACGAATTTAAATTCCAAATTAATATTTTTATGTTATCCAGACGGCTCTTTCTATACATAATTGGTTAAAATTAATATTAGGAGAGATTCATAAAATTGATTAAAATAAAAGAAAATGTAAAAAACAAAAGAAAATGTAAAAAATGATTTCATATCAAAATCGGTATATAAAAATAAATTAAAACTAGATATTTAATATTTAACATGTATTTGTATGACATCGCTAAAAAAATAAAAAAGGAGGAAAATAAATATTATTCATGATTTTAGGGATTAAATAAATTTTAGAGTTATTTAAATATACATTAAGGGATTACATAGTGTTTTTTTTTATAAAAGAGAGAATTTCATTAATCAATACATAGGCATATCGCCTTGTACATAAGCATAATCAAACTTGTCTCTTAACAACCTCAACCATTAACCAAAGAGAAATGTTCTCATCAAAATACAAATCAAAACTACTAAAATCACATGGCATTGCTCACCGCTGAATTTGCCTCCCGTCGGACCTGCCACTGTTATCGACATAACAATTGAACCTTCCGACACAATGACGCCGGCGGTTTGTTGATGTTTGGTTTCATGGGGAAATGCATGGATACTGAATTATGATTTGTTGACATATATATGAACAGAACCCAAAGAGTAGCTGGAGAAGGCATGATCAGAAACAAAGATACTGGGGCCACTGGGCATCGGGAGTTGGTGGAATGCAGGCGTTTTTCTCGCATTCTGGTAATAAATCAACAGGGACAGGCGTTTTCCTTCCTCAAACTCAGTACAACAATACTTTTCACTCTACCAGACGACCAGCTTGCTCTCCGGTTCTACTCCCTTCCCGAGTTGTTCAAGCTCTCAACCTCAATGTTTATGAATTAAGCCTCCAAATCTCTCCTCACACAGGTTTACCTCACTTTTAACTGTTTGTTTTTCTTGTTTTAAAACTAAGAATGTGGTTATTGATTGCTCATTATTTTTACTGCAGATCCCAAGAATAATAATACGAGTACAAGAGGTGGAGAGTGGAATTCATTCAACAATAAAAATGGCAAGGATGTATCATCCAAACGTTGCGTTAGTGGAAATGAAAATTCTTCGGCGGCCGACATATTTCTTCCTGACGAATGGACTTACTAAGTTCATCTGCAACACGGATACTTTTATTTGTAAAGCTGCTAGATTCACATATTGTTCTGTTTTTTAAGGGTTTTACCCCCCCCCCTTTTTTTAGTGAAATAAGTCATGTCATTGAGTTGTTTGTATGGTCTACTACAAAGGTTTTCACTGCATCGTCTTATGTTTGTAAAATTACAACGGTACTAATGGAGAAAATCATATACAAACAATGCAAAAAGTTTGTTTCCATTCAACAAACTAATAGAAAACGTTCACTCATCATCCTCAACACAGTCTTGAAGTTGTTCCTCCATGTTCAGGATCAAGTTTGTGTTAAATTATCATTTTTAAATGATGGTTGAATTCAAAATATTTAACATTTTGAGAATTGAAATTAAATATGAATGATAAGATTGATAAATAAAAAGGTATTTTGACAATAATATATCAATAGTTATATATATACTCGATTGGTTTCATATCAAACTCAATCTGAATTAAACCTAAGATCCAAAGGTTGACTTGAACCGAAAATTAACTTTGACTCGACCTGAAAATTAACTAATGTAGTATTGACCTGACTCGAAAACCAACTAATATAATATTAACCCAACTCAAAATCTACTGGTGAATTCATATTTGTGTTAGAGTGAGTACATGTCCATTCTGAAATTCGAATTTTCTTTTGGTAGTTAGTCATTTTACTAATTGTGTCTAGGGGTGTTCATGGTTGATTAATCGTACCGTTAAGTCTAAACGGTTCGTTAACCGTTATAACAATTATTAAATTTGTTAACCATAATTTAACCATTAAGAAACGGTTAACCCTTATTAACGGTTCGATTATAGGGTAACCTATGATTAACCTGCTACAATATTTTTCAAACTTAACACAACTTAAAATTTTTGAAATTTCATAAATTTATGACGATAAAAACATATATGTTTGTAAAAATCTTATTTATTTGTAAATGTATTTTATTTTATATATATATATATATATATTATGAGGTATATTCATTTTTTTACAAAACTTTACGTGTATATTTATATTTTATAATTTAAAATCATGTATTTCATCTATATATGTTTGATTTAATGTGCTCCTATACAAAATAAACATGATAACTAAAAAATAGGAGGAATAAATTTGATTTTATTTTTAATTATATTCTCTAAAAAATATAATTAATTAATTATAATTTATTAATTTGTTAATCAATGGTTAACCATTTATTAAAATCGATTAATCATAACCATAATCATAATTGTTAACCAATAATTTTTAGCGGTTCGATTAACCAAAACCGATAAACAGTAATGGTTCGGTTAATTAACCTATAAAATGTAGTTGTTACATCTGTTAATGGTTACGGTTAATGGTAACAGATTATTTTGAACACCTCTAACTGTGTCCAACTTGAGATTTTCTTTATGTTCACCCATATACAAATTTTATGTTGGTATCATATGTGTGTCCACGCTAAAAATTATTTTTGAATCTGCTACTATTAATACCCAAATCGACTTACCATAGATTCGAACTAAATCAAATACGATATAAATCAAACTTAGAATACAATCTAAACTCAAAATAATCATACTTAAAAATAACTTAATCCGAACGACTCAATTACCTCATTTATATCTACATGTATGTAAAAGTATTTAATTAGTGAGTAATACAATTAGGCGGATCTGATTACACATAGTATTATATAGCAATAATTGTATTTATTGCCCTCTTCACCTCCATTATGCTAACTTTCTTCCCCTTCATATTATCCTTCACCTGCCATTCAAGCAACACGTCAAATTAAATCCCATTTTTTTTTACTAATTAATTCATGATTTACGTACCTTGGCTCGTATCTCAGCTACGATCAACCCATTGTTCAAAGAAGACTGAACACCCGTTATCTCAATCCGAAGCTTTTCCCTCAACATCTGCATTATATCAAGCAGCAGCCCTTCCCTATACCCGCACTGCAACTCAAGTAACGCATCGCTTTCTATTATAGATACTTCCACCGACGTTTCCACCTTCTTCGGCTTTGCTCTGCCGACGCTCCCTTCCACAGTCGCCGTCTTCTTTTTAACCCCACTTCTTTGATCCATCAAACCACTCGTTCTCTGTATTGAATCCGCTGATCTCGACCGTTCGTTGTCGGCTTCCATTTGCCTGTTACGTGGTTCGAGCTCTTGGATCTTTTTACGTAACTGTTTCACGTACTCGATGGTGTCCCCGAGTATGGAAGCTTTATCCATTTTGGTAACAAAGGGAACCAACGATCTTAATATGACGAACCGCTCGTTGAGCTTCTCGCGTCTCCGCCTCTCCGCCAGCACGTGGTTGGCACTGAGCTCCTCCTGAGGGGTCCCCTTGCGGAACGGAGTGGTGGCAGAGGCGTCGGAGTCGCGTAACTTGGGGGAGTTCTCATCGCGGTATTTTGTGTGGAGGAATGGTACGGTGAATAGAATGTATTTGAGGAGCCACTGGGAAGTGCCTTTGACGACGGCCGGATTGAGGTGGTGGTCCGAACGGGTTGTCCAGTTGGCGAATGCTGATTGGGTAGTGGAGTAGGTGGCGTCATAGCCGGTTGACGGTGACTCGGCCCAGCAGGTCGGTTGGGCTTGGAGGATGGTGGAGACGGTCTGAGAATACTGCGTGTCTTCTCGTGACAGTTCATCCAACGGCTGGGGCCCTACAAAAATTCTCAAAAACCACACTTAAAATGAAATGAAACACACACTTGCTAAATTCATTTAAAATCTAGAGTAATTTAATTTTAATGTCAAATTAAATAAAAATATTATTTTTTAAATTTAAATAACTTAATTAATTAATTCTCATGATAATTGAGGTGAAAGAAGGCCCTTTATGAAATGATAATTGAGTGGAACAAAACTCAAAATTTTACTCCTGTTTTTTTAATACTCTTGATTGATTAGGAGATAATATTTCTATAAAAAAATTAGTCAGCAACAATGCATATATATATATATATATATCATATAGACACAATTGTTTAAATTTAAAATCTTTTAAAAAAATAACAATATATTTTATCAAATAACTAATTTAATAGATCAAACTTTCGAAAAAGAGAAATTGACAGCAAAGAAATAAATAAGCCAATAAAGCAGTGGACAGTAGAGCAATTGCTTTGCCTTTTTTTTTTTTTTTGAGGAATGGTCAAAACCTGAAACAAACAGCTGGATGGGATCACAGAGTTCCAACACTCTTACAAGAAGCTACACTGAAGTTGTCCAGAAATAGGAGAAAAGTAAAACATTAATTTCAGTACCTAAGTCTTCATCGATTTGCTCCCCTTCGCAGATACCCATTTTGGCAACTGATTTATTATCCACTATTCTACAACTAACTAGATCTCTTCTACTCATTGCTTCACATTTAATGCGTTCATATAGTTTACTTTTCTTTTTAGTTTTCATCCCTTCGTTGGGTTTAAATTTGGATTTTAATCTTTTATTTTTATAGTATCATCTGTTAATCCTAGTAGTTAACACCCAGTTAAAAGAATGATGTGGATTCTTATTAAGAACACTTATTTTGTTATACTAGTGCCATGTCTCCTATCCAGCGCCTTCGAAAATATTGTTCCCAGACCAAAACCCTTGATGGTGCAAACTTTCACCATTACAACAATGGCCCGGCAGCCCAATATTTTCATTGATTACTGATTTGGTAAAAAGTTAACACATGAGACGATTAAATTTAGTCAAGCTCATCAAGTAACCTAGACTCCTAGCAACAAATGAAGATTCCTAGCAACTGAAGATATGGAATACGCCTAACCTAAAAGGTTACACGTTCTATCACCAAGAGTAATTTGCTTATTTATAATAATTAGCTAGAAGATTTGGATAAAGAACATCTTATATTAGTTAGATAATATGTCATATTACGCTTGTATACGTAACCTTTCTATCAGAAGAGAGAGGAACTCCCTAGATTGTAGGGTCAAAATTTCTCCAGGGTAGATGTAAAATTGTTATGAGAGCGCATAATACACTCTCTGTGTTTATCAAGAAAACATCCCCTCACCATAATTACGTTCTCGAAAGTCTTGTTGCAAAACTATTATGGATCCCTCTGAAGTTTATTGCTAATCGTAGTGTGGTAGATCCTTTCATAGATGAATTACTCATTCCAAACATGAGATGTCTTCCCTATGTTTTCTCAAGATTGTAGATTACTCCACAGATACATATATTCATAAAGCGAGAGATATCCCATAATGATTTCACAAAGTTGTAGATTCCTTCGCTCACAAATTATTGCTTTGGAACAAGTGTTATACCAGTGTATATAAATTATCTCGGCTCGCATCACTATCGAACACCCACAAAAGCATTGCTTTGGAATCAAAAGCCCTTGATTGCATGAACTTCTGTTATTATAATCACGACTCTGTAACTCACTCTTTCTGTCACCCACTGATTTGATAAATATTCGATAGACAAGACTGCTAAACTTACTACCTCGTTCTCAACAAGCAAATTAACTAACAGATTGATCCCATTATAATCCTAACAAGTCTACTAACATATGTCATGCCCACTCTTTTCTCTCTCTCTCTCTCCCATCTATTCAGCATTGTCATGTGACACCAAGGGCACATAGTATATATAGATTCCTCCTACCATTTTCTTTAATAACTCTAAATCCAAATTAGAAGAGATGAACCACTTTCCGACATTACAATCACCATCTCCCCAGTTATACACCAAAACTTTCAAGCATAAATTTTTTATGTTAACATAAAAGTAGAAGATGCAATTATGCTAATTAAACTATAGAGACCAACACTATAATTTGGACAACTTAAAAGAAATTTAGAAACAATCCAAGTACCATTATGATTTTACCTGTTGAAGGTGGTTGAAGGCTACTGCACGAGGGTTCTTGTAGCATTTGCCACCTCCGATTCGACTCAGCACGCTGCTGAAGGTAGGTGGGGTTGCTGCTTTGACTCACTTCCAGCATACGGAAATCTGAATCCATGTTATTCGATGCGTCGTCTGGTGAACCTAGCTTGATGTCTTCCGGCATTTCCAATTGCATTAGCTCGCTTGGCTCCTCCAACGCCACCACAGCTGCTACCGTTTGAGTGTTTTGCATGGGGACTTGGAGAATATTTCTACCGGTTTCGGCTGAATAAGATTCGGGTTCTTCGTCTTCGTCATTGTCATCTTGGGCAGCATTTACCGGCGGGTCTGCGGCGGAGAATGGGGGAGAAACGGAGGGGGAATTGAAGTGAGTCTGGTCCAATGAGGTGGCGGGGTTTGAGGTGGAGTATTCGGAGAGAGCTGGTTTCGGTGGTGTAGGGGTTGTGGTTTGACCATCGTTGAAGAAAGTTTTTACATGATGAACTAACCCTAAATCTGCTTGGAACTGAAATATTTTTAAAGAAAATAGAGTAATATTTTTAAATATGTATAGATTTGATTAATTAATTATACTTTTTCATCTTAGGTAATTGAAAAAAGCAACTTTAATTACCTTTTCAGTAGAGCCAAGTTCAAGGACACCATCAAGTAGAGGAATGCAAAGCACAGTCTACAACAATAAAAATAAAACAAATGGTTTAATTTCAAACTTAAATTTTCATCATGATGAACTAAATGAACTAAAGAAAAGTATATATATATATATATACCTGTATACAAGCACTCTGATGCAACCGTAGGGCATTATTTTATGTTGAGAAACAAGAAGATAGGTCATAGGAGTAGAGTCAGTGCCTTGAATTGCAATTAAGAAAGATGCAAATTAAGAACAAAATTGAATGAGTAGCTAAAGATGCATGGATCCTCAAGGCCAAGCTTGTGATACCTTAGCAAGAATGGCTCTTGAAAAGGTTTCGCTGTCGACCTCATTTGCACCTGTAAGCCATATATGCTGCCTCCTTGCATATGCCTTTCCTGGTAACCTACGCAACAATAAATCCATCCCCTAAGATCTTTCCTATAGCTAGAGTTGCTTGTTCTGAGAAAAGAGACGAGCCTACTATCGTCTGCATGCGTTCCTAGTTCCTCCATGATTGTTATCAAAGGATATAATGATTTGGACGTAAAATTATCGTGACTCTACAAAAAATTGCAGGTCTATTGCTACAAGCAATTGTAGATTTCATAGTAAATCGTATCTTGGAAAGTTTGAGAACAATGATGAACATGGTGTTTTTCAAACTTTGTAGGATTCATTTGCTTTCTTTTGCTCAACGAGTATTCACATTTTAGAAAAATTCGCTGACACTCAGCCACTATTTTATCACCAACCTATCACGGTGTACAGTTTTTCAAATCTTAAATTCGGCAAAAGACAAACTTTCAGCACTAAACCGCAAAGCACACACGGGAATCTCATAAACCACCCCAAAATATGAACAAGACAACCATATATATATATATATATATGTATATATATATCAACTTAATTTTGTTCATAGAAACAAATTAAATCTGGGAATTGGTTAATCTGTATATATCTTTAAAAATTACTGTTCCAATAATGAATCTTAACTGTCTCATTTACTGTTTCTTAATTGTTTACTTACCAATGACCCTTGTGTTGCACTGTGTATTGAATACGGAAGAAAGGGTCTGAGAGAGATACTCCATTATTTTCTTTTCCATCTTAAAATAGTTAAAAAAGAATTGAATTGTGTGCTGGAGGTGATAAATGTCCTTCTATCTTGGAATGGAAACATTGAATTTTGTTTATAAAGGAGTTGTTAAGACAAACAGAAGGGAATAGGGCAGCATTATAAATGTCCTATCTCTTTTATTTGCAGGTTCCAGCACTGAGGTTAACTAGAATAAGTAACTCACGTTAAAAAGTCAATTGCTGAAACTTACCCTACACCAGGAGGAAAATAGAATGAGAGGCACATCAGATAGAACCATTCGGACTCCGTTAAGTCCTCCGGCGACAACGCAGCGCAAGATCTCCGTGCCGGCTGGTTCATCTCGCCCGATGATAATGACTCGTAGAGCTGTCTAAGCTGTTGGCTTCTTTGTAAAGATGCTTCCTCCGTGGCAACCTCCATAGGTTGCACTGTCTTTCTTGTTTTGATTGTTCCATTGTAGTATCCGTCTGACCATATTAAGATCCTAATTGAAAAAACACAGTTTAAATTTATTAGTGTAAGTGTGTAACACAAATTTTCATTAAAACAAGTTTATTTCACAAGTTTCGTGGAAGAAGGTTTACCCTTGTTGAGGACAAATTTGCCAGAAAAGACTGTACGTCCATTGAACTGATTGCACCGCTGCCTGCAGCATTTTCTGAAGCCTGCTACTAGGCGCCGCCGCCATTCTTCAAGCCTCAAAACTCTCTCTCGCTCAAATATTATTTATTCACCCGGACTTTCAAACTTGAGCCTGAACATTTATGTCAAAAAAGTGAAAAAAATCAAAATTTTCTCTTTGGAGATGCCAAGACTGTTAAACAAACACGAAGGTTCAGAACATTAATCATCCTATCATGATATCCAGTTGAAAAATAAATAAAAAAGCTTTTAACCCCCAACATCAAGAGAAAAAAGGAAAAAGAAACCCCCCACCACAAAAAAAAAGTGAACCGACAAGTCCAAGGAAGGAAGAGAATGTATACGGAAGAAAAAAACTGGAGAAATTCAAAAAGTAGAGATGACTTTTGCCGAAACGATTTTTAATTCGCGTGTGAGTGAGATTTTGAAAACCACGTAGTTATTGATTTATTTAATTGATTTTAAATAAAAGAAATATGATTTTAAAAGTTTTTTCTCGTTTCGAAAATTTAAGATTCCTATTCATAATAAAATGTACTGTTCGAAGAGTCGCCATCAATCTTTGATTAAGATATGATTGAACACCTTAAAACGTTTTTGTTATTTTAAATAAAAATTATTTTTAATTAAAACAACAAATGGAGGTACACGTTATAAGAAAATGAGTTCGGGAGTCGATTACGTGTAGGGAAGGATTAGCACCCCACAACGCCTTATATCGGTACCAAGTCGATTAATTAATTGTCTTTGCAATAAAATTTACAAATTCGAATTTAACTTAATTTATGATCCCCAATAAAATAACATATGAGTTTTACAATATTTAAAAGCACCAAAATAGATAAAATTAAAATTACCAAGCCATTAGAAAGATAAAGAATATTCGATTATTTAAAAATATTGAGACCATATCTTTAAGTTAGTTCTAACGACCTTTTCTCAACAAATTTAAATATCCGAACATTTTTTTTCTTTCACTCCCAAATTTTAAAATAAAGAATCAAATTTTTTAGTGACAATGACAGGATACACTTTTAATTTAAAATTATCAAAAGTAAATCTCTAATTAATTAAGACAAACCACTTAAAATAATTTTAAATTGATATTACTCTTAATCCAATTATGCAAATATGTCAAGTTATGCTCATGAGGTTAACATGCAAATTAATTCAAATTCAATCCTAAACCTATATGCACCAATTTTTAAGAATTATATATATGCACGTAGATTATGAATAAATAAATATCGAAACATTATGTAAGCAATTTCACATACGATTAACATTCGCAAATAACATTAGATACATAAATAGCAATCATTACAGAACAATTAAAATGAAACGATCATAACATGAAATAACTGTTATATATATATTTAAGAACTTTATATTAATAAGACAACCAACATCATACCACATATAAGATATAAAATCTAATATTAAATATAATATTAAATATAATATACAAACATATACACGCAACATACTAAATATATATTTTAATGTAATTACAACCCTATGAACATTAACAAGAACATAATTGCATGCTTAAAAACATAATGATCTAAAGCATAATAATATAAAATAAAGGCATTACCAACCACTATAAAAATCTCAAATTAAAACCAAATTGTCTGGAAAGTAAAAAACAGGCGGGACCCTTATATAATAAGTAAGGCAATTAAAAAAACACTACCCCTTTGTCTTATGTCAGTACAAAACAGAATCCTTAAACAAATAAAAAACAAAACCCTAAAAACATATTACTTTTAACATTTTTCTCCACAGCCGTTTCCTTCTCCCTCTCTACTCTTCTTCTTCGACATATCTCAAGACCGAGACCCAAACATGACCAAAGACCCGGACTTTCCACTTCCGGTGACCTGGAACCAACGATTCCGACTATGAACACTCACATAGCAAGGTAAATTAGATCAAGACCCCTATTACTCTTATTCTTTTTATTTTATTTTATTTTTTAAAAATCAGATCCAAAAACTAACTTATAATCTACATGCAAGCCTAGATTTGAAACTCTGGGTCCTTGGACTCCTCAGTTTCCTTTTCCGACGTTCAACCCCCACTATCCCGAACTTTCTTGACCCCGGTGACTACTAAAAGACCCCAGGTAAATCGACCCTAAATCCCTCTTGTTTATTTCGAAAACACCCACACACACACACCCACACACAGACCACACACATTGGAAATTAAAAATGAAACTCAATTCCTAAAGAATTTGCTACTGCTTTTTGTTGATAAAAAAGGAGGGAGGAATACCCTTGGTTTACACTGCTTAATTCGAATATTGGGAGCAGAACCTTCCTCTTTACATCGTTTTTCTGTTTTGAATTTTAGTAAAAGAAGATTCCCCTATTGTTGATGATTTTCGCTTCGAACCCTCTCCTCCTCTTTGCTGACTGAGAGCCCCCTGTTCTTGCTTGCCTCTGGTTGTTCCAATCCTTTTCCTTTTTCTGTTAAAAACCGAGCCACCCTTTACAATTTTCATCTGGAGTTTTAATACCCCTTTACAACATTTTTCCCCTTGATAATTTCTGGTTCTCACCGAATGTAACCCCTATTTTCTGTCTCTCCTTTTCCTTCGAATGGCCTCCCCCTTTATCTCGTGTTCCTCCTTTTTTTTTATCAATATTTTCTTCACCGAATACTTTGTCTCGATGTTAATTTTCTCTGCGTTTGGTGATATTTGATTGAGCAAATATTGACTTTGATGCAATTTTCGGTGGCTAATTAATTTTTCCTTGATCCGGTGCATTGTTGACTTTGTGCATATTAACTCCAACAGTGGCGATGACTTGAGATATTGGTGTGATTGGTTGCTGCTCATACACATGGATGGAAACACCTCTTATGCTTAAACTGTTTTATTTTTAGGCTGTGATTTTTATTGGGCTTGCATTGGGCTCCTAGAATTCTTTTGTTGTAGTGGGCTTGAACTTTAGGCCTACACAAATAATGTAATTTGTATTAATAATAATAATAATAATAATAATAATATAATTAATATTTATAATATTTTTTAAGCCCGATCAAAAACGGGTGTCTACAACTATTCCTCTTTGCGCATTCTTGTGTTAACAAGAATAAGACAAAGATGAAAAAGACAATGAGTTTTTGATCAGTTCCATCTTCGTTCTTTAAAACTTGATGAGGGATTTGCTCCCTCTTCTTTGAACAATCTTTGACCATTGGGTTCGCTCTCTCTTGCTTCAGGGAGTATAAAACTCAAACAATCTTTATAAAACATGTATGTTCTCTATTCCTTCAGAGAGTATAAGATTAAATCTTCAACAAACGTGTCCGCTCCCTATTCCTTCAGAGAGTATATGACTCAATCTTCAATCAAACGTGTTCGCTCCCTATTTATTCAGAGAGTATATGACTTGAACAACCTTCAACAAACGTGTCTATTCTCTATTCCTTCTGAGAGTATAAGACTCGAGCAATCTTCAACAATAATGTTTGCTCCCTATTTCTTCAGAGAGTATAAGACTTGAACAATTTTCAACATTCGTGTCTGCTCCCTATTTCTTAAGAGAGTATGAGACTCGAACAATCTTCAACAATCGTGTATGCTCCTTATTTCTTCAAAGAGTATAAGACTCGAACAATTTTCAACATTCGTGTCTGCTCCCTATTTCTTCAGAGAGTATTAGACTCGAACAATTTTCAACATTCGTGTATGCTCCCTATTTCTTCAGATAGTATGAGACTCGAACATTCTTCAACAATCGTGTCTGCTCTTTATTTCTTCAGAGAGTATAAGACTCGAACAATTTTCATTTGCTTCACTACTTCCTTGTGAAGACTTAAGTTTGATTTGCTTCGAAGGCAAAGCCTGAAAATCAAACAATATCAATCATGAATGGATTCTTGAAGATTTGAAAAATATTATACTCGAAAATTTAGAATTTAAGAGAATCCTTTCGAATCCTTTTCTCTTGTGAGAGCTTGTCTTGTCGCAACTAAATGCCAGAGTCTTCCTTGACTTGACTGCCATTTGAACCTCTCTCTTCCTAAGACCTTGAATCGGTTAATGACTCTTCGCGAGCATTTCCTGTTAATCACTTGATTGTCTTCCTTGTACTCAAGAACTTTTCGATTTCCTTCCACATTTAATAATCTGATGGTTTGCTCCAACATTTTGGTGAAAAACATCCTGCCCGAAGGTCTTATGGATGACCTGAAGGATTTATTCTCTTACTCGAGAGACTCACAAAAGACCCGAAGGATTTAAGCATCATGCTTGAAAGACTTACTGATGACCCGAAGGTTTTATAAATTTTGAAATTTTGAAAATCGCATTATTCGTTTTCAAAAATTACATCTTTTTAAAACATCATTTTTTTTATTTTCAAATTCATGTGAAAACATCATACCTGAAGGTTTTATGGATGACCCGAATGACGTATCATCTTGCTCTAAAGGCTTACAGATGACCCGAAGGATTTAAGTATCATGCTCGAAAGACTTACTGATGGTCCGAAAGACTTATAAATTATACAATTTTGAAAAATGCATTTTTCGTTTTCAAAAATTCCATCTTCTTAAATCATCATTTTTCATTTTCAAATTCATGTAAAAACATCCCACCCGAAGGTCTTATGGATGACCCGAATGACTTATCATCTTGCTCTAAAGGCTTATAGGTGACCCGAATGATTTAAGCATCATGCTCGAAAAACTTACTGATGGCCCGAAGGTTTTATAAATTGTGAAATTTTGAAAATCGCATTCTTCGTTTTAAAAAATTTCATCTTCTTAAAACATCATTTTTTTATTTCCAAATTAATGTGAAAACATCCCACCCGAAAGTCTTATGGATGGCCCGAAGGAGTTCATCTTGCTCTAAACGCTTACAGATGACCCGAAAGATTTAAGCATCATGCTCGAAAGACTTACTAATGGCCCGAAGGAGTTATAAATTGTGATATTTTGAAAATCACATTCTTCGTTTTCAAAAATTCCATCTTCTTAAAACATAATTTTTTTCATTTTCAAATTCATTTGAAATTATCCTACCTGAAGGTTTTATGGATGGTTTGCTTCACTGCTCTTCGGTGAAGGCTTAAGATTGACTTACTCCAATCTCATGTATGCAAGTCCTTCCAATCGATCAATTCACTTCTTTATACATAAAAATCTTTGTTTTTCTTCTATATCTGATAGTCATCACTTCAGAGTAATGCTTCTTCTGTGGATTGGACCTCTTAATTCTTCAGGGTATGCCTCTCTAAACACGACTCCTTTTGTTTGATGTTTGAAATCTCCCTTTCAACTTGCTGGGATTTTGACATTCTGCATCTTCTCTTTTAACTGGAAGATCTATCAAAATCATGTGTTTATGCATGAAACACTAATGCAATTAAATGTACCAGTGTAATGCATTTTATTTTATGCAAATGATGTTTTCATGAATGTATAAATGTTGAATCATTTTTCACTTGGCTCTAGAGTGGTGAGCTTGATCTTCTTCTATTTGATCATTCTTTCAAGGGTCTACTTCATATGCTCGTGTAGCAACTCATAGTTTCCAACTTGCATCTTTGACGAGCCCTCTGAACTTCTTCTATCTTCTTGTCGTCTTTGTTTTCTTTCTTTATTTCGGAGAAAGTGCTTTCTCTTTCAACATCTTGCTATAGTCAAAAATACGACTGTGTTGTCACATTTCCGTCCTTGACTCAATTATGCTTTCAGAGTTATTTTTCCAGGACTCTGCCATTAATCAATGCTCAGTTGATTTGCTTTACAAGGTAAGCTCTGATCAAATTCACGGTCTGCCCCTGGCACTTCAAGTTGAGAGACTCATTCTCAATAACTTCTTAGTCTGAATCTTGTCATCTCAACATGTTGTGGGTTTAGTCGTGCCCCAACATGGTACGAGCCTTCAAAATTCCCCAAACCTCAAATTGTAAGGCTCATTCTCAATGCCTTCTTGGTCTGGGTCTTGTCATCTCAACATGATAGGTGTTCAGTCCTGCCCCAAACCAGTACTGAATCTCGCGCATTCAAATTCACCCTCGGCTGTTTTCACCGAGACTCATTAATTTTTTGTCTCAACCCTGTTCGTCAATTATTGTTACCCATGTCAGGAGCTCTTTCCACTTCCAAAAACAATTCAGAACCTCCGCCATGGACGAATTCTGAATTTAAAACTCAAGCCGCCCTTTGTGGGTTTTCAACTTGAGACCTCCTTTGGTTTCAAGACGCCTTTTTTGAGTTTTCATCTTGAACCCCCTTTTATTCATTTTTTATTCATTTTTCATTTTTTTCTCATTTTTCCCTTTTCATCTTCAAGTAAAAAACCTCTAATTGTATCGGAGTTCACTGGATATGGTAGCTCCGACCCATCCATCTCAGTTAATACTAGAGCTCCTCCAAAAAGGGCTTTCTTGACAACATAGGGTCCCTCTCACTTGGGCATCCATTTCCCTCGAAAATCTTTTTGAATGGGCAATATCCTTCTGAGCACCAGATCTCCTTCGTGGATTTCTCGAGGGCGAACATTCTTATAGTGTGCTCGTATCATCCGTTCTGGTACATCTGACCATGACAAATAGTTTTCAATCTCTTTTCTTCAATCAATTTAATTGGTCATATCTGGCCTGTATCCATTCTGCCTCATTTAGCTTTACCTCTGACAAAACCCGGAGTGAGGGAATTTCCACTCCATAGGGAAATCAGCTTCCATGCTGTAAACTAAAGAAAACGGAGTTGCCCCAGTTGACGTCCGTACTAAAGTTCGATAGGCAAACAAAGCAAATGAAAACTTCCCGTGCCAATCTTTATAAGTCTCTGTCATTTTCTCTATAAGCCTCTTAATGTTTTTATTAGCCGTCTCCACTGCTCCATTCATCTTTGGGCGATAAACAGTGGAATTATGATGCTTTATCTTGAATTGCTCACAGACAGAGTTCATCATCTGGTTGTTAAGTTCAATGCATTGTCAGAGATAATCCTTTCCGGTAAGCCATATCTACAGATGATTTCTTTTTCAAGAACTTACATACCGTTGACTGGGTAACACTTGCATAGGAAGTTGCTTCTACCCATTTGGTGAAGTAATCTATCGCTACCAGAATGTAGCAATGTCCATATGATGCCTTCGGCGAAATTTGCCCAATAACATCCATGCCCCACATAGAAAACGATCACGGATCTGTCATCACATGCAATGGAGGAGGAGGGTTGTGCATTCTATCCCCATAAATCTGACACTTGTGACACATTCGGGCATAATTGATGCAATCAGTTTCCATAGTTGACCAATAATTCACAAATCTCATAATCTGTCTGGCCATTACATGCCCATTAGCATGGGTGTCACATATTCCTTCATGTATTTCTTCAAGAATCATTTCAGCTTCTTTAGTGTCCACACACCTTAATAAGACATGATCCATGCTTTTCTTATATAGGGTCTCACCATCGAGCACATACCCTGCTACCATTATTCTAATGGTCCTTTTAACATTCTCAGTCGCCTGTTCGGGGTAATTTTGATATCTTATATATTGCAAGATATCATAGTACAAGGTCTTCCATCTTCTTTTTCTTCAATGCTAAAGCAGTGGGTTGGATATTCATAAGCCTTCATCTCAATAGACATCATATTTGCATTCTCGTTCATCTTAAAGGCTGCTACCAAAGTAGCCAAGGCGTCTGCCATTTGATTTTCTTTTCTGGGGAGGTAATTGAAAGTCACTTCTTCAAATTCTTCAATAAGTTTCAGGACTAATTTATGGTATTCCACGAGTTTGGGATCTTTTGTTTCTCATCCTCCTCTGAGTTGGTAAACTACCAAAGCTGAATCCCCGTATACTTTAAGCATTTTTACTCTGAGTTTAATAGCAGCTCTAAGAACCAAAACACATGCCTCATACTCATCCATATTGTTTGTACAATCAAAATTGACTCGACTGGTGAGACCCAGATTGCTCCAATCCCAATATCTCAGAGAAACGTCTTTGATAGGGATTAAATAGCTATGAATTTAGTTCACAGATCATCCCAGATCATTCCTTGGCATGCACTCTTTAACAGATGAACACGAGTGTCAAGGTTTTGGGCTACTTAGGATTCATGCACTTTAAGAGACCAGTTTAAAGTATACCAAGAAATCTTTTGTTTTCTTTTGAACTATGTTAATATACTTATAAGATGCACACAGTTAGGGTTTAAAAATGATGAAATTAGAATTTTACAAAATCATGGCAATCATAATAAAAAAAATAAAGTCAAATGCCTCAACATCACCAACATGAATGTTCCTGAACCAAGATACAATTTGGAGCACTGAGGTAAGCTTCTGTCTAGAAGAACACAAATGTTGCCAAAATAGCTTCTTTCAAACATCAGACTCTTGTAGGTGTTTTACTTACCTGGTGTCTATCAAAATGTATTCGAGCTACCCTTTCAGCCTTTGAACATTAATAAGAACATATAAGATATAAAATCTAATATTAAATAACAAACAAACATATACACGCAACATACTAAATATATTTTAATGTAATTACACCCTATGAACATAACAAGAACATAAATGCATGCTTAAAAACATAATGATCTAAAGCATAATAATATAAAATAAAGGCATTACCAACCACTATAAAAATCTCAAATTAAAACCAAATTGTCTGGAAAGTAAAAAACAGGCGGGACCCTTACATAATAAGTAATGCAATTAAAAAAACACTACCCTTTTGTCTTATGTCAGTACAAAACAGAATCCTTAAACAAATAAAAAACAAAACCCTAAAAACATATTACTTTTAACATTTTTCTCCACAGCCGTTTCCGTTTCCTTCTCCCTCTCTACTCTTCTTCTTCGACATATCTCAAGACCGAGACCCAAACATGACCAAAGACCCGGACTTTCCACTCCCGGTGACCTGGAACCAACGATTCCGACTATGAACACTCACATAGCAAGGTAAATTAGATCAAGACCCCTATTACTCTTATTCTTTTTATTTTATTTTATTTTATTTTTTAAAAATCAGATCCAAAAACTAACTTATAATCTACATGCAAGCCTAGATTTGAAACTCTGAGTCCTTGGACTCCTCAGTTTCCTTTTCCGACGTTCAACCCCCACTATCCCGAACATTCTTGACTCCGGTGACTAGTAAAAGACCCCAGGTAAATCGACCCTAAACCCCTCTTGTTTATTTCGAAAACACCCACACACACCCACACACAGACCACACACATTGGAAATTAAAAATGAAACTCAATTCCTAAAGAATTTGCTACTGCTTTTTGTTGATAAAAAAGAAGGGAGGAATACCCTTGGTTTACACTGCTTAATTCGAATATTGTGAGCAGAACCTTCCTCTTTACATCGTTTTTCTGTTTTGAATTTTAGTAAAAGAAGATTCCCCTATTGTTGATTATTTTCGCTTCGAACCCTCTCCTCCTCTTTGCTGACTGAGAGCCCCCTGTTCTTGCTTGCCTCTGGTTGTTCCAATCCTTTTCCTTTTTCTGTTAAAAACCGAGCCCCCCTTTACAATTTTCATCTGGAGTTTTAATACCCCTTTACAACATTTTTCCCCTTGATAATTTCTGGTTCTCACCGAATGTCCCTCCCATTTTCTGTCTCTCCTTTTCCTTCGAATGGCCTCCCTCTCTATCTCGTGTTCCTTTTTTTTTATCAATATTTTCTTCACCGAATACTTTGTCTGCATGTTGATTTTCTCTGCGTTTGGTGATATTTGGTTGAGTAAGTATTGACTTTGATGCAATTTTTTGGTGGCTAATTAATTTTTCCATGATTCGATGCATTGTTGACTTTGTGCAGATTAGCTCCAACAGTGGCGATGGCTTGAGATATTGGCGTGATTGGTTGCTGCTCATACACATAGATGAGAACATCTCTTATGCTTAAACTGTTTTATTTTTGGGCTGTTGAATTTTTATTGGACTTGCATTGGGCTCTGAGAATTCTTTTGTTGTATTGAGCTTGAACTTTAGGCGTACATAAATAATGTAATTTGTATTAATAATAATAATAATAATAATTAATATTTAATATTTTTTAAGTTCGGTAAAAAATTAGTGTCTACAACTTTTTCTAGAGATTTGTTTGAGTTGGCCAAGGAAATGACCCACCTTGTTGTTAGCGTAGTGATTGATGTTTAAGAAAAACAAAATTTGCAGAAAGTAGCTAGGGTTCTTATATATTTGTTGTTGTAATGAAGATATTGAGATTTGACTGGTCGGTCTACCAGACAGTTCGATGTCGAAAACATGACAAGGTGAGCGTAGGTTCTGTAGTCGCTGTTTTACTTTACATCAGGGAGAGATGCGGTTTGATTAGGTGGCGAAGACTGGGCGTTGGGATTGAACTGTTAGTGTTTTCATTCATTGCCATAGTATATAATGGTTATTCACATCTACCACCAACACTTCTATTATTAACCCAATATAATGTCACATTCACAATTTATGTTTTCTTCTTCTTCTTTTGGTTCAATTCATCTTACGTTGAAAGAGAGCAAAATGTACATTTTAATCAATCATTTTCTTCTTAAAACTATATTTGTTTCATCAAATTATTTTTTTATAATCTTTAATTCTAACATTCATTTCGTTATATTCATTTCTCATTTATAACGCTGTTTTAAAAAAAAAGTCTCATAACATTACGTCGAGTGACACTTTTGATCAGTATATAACTTTAATAAAAATAATATGTCAAGTTTCTCTATTTTTTTGTATTCAATTTAGTCTCTAACTTTTTTTAATTTTAAATTAACTCATATTTATATTTATAGGATAAACTACACACATGATCATTTAATTATAAGGAGATTTTATTCAAAAATTATGATGAGATTCTAATCTGACTACAGATCTTTTAGTTTTATTAATTAAATAACTTAATTATTTAAATAATCAATCAAATCACTTGTTGTTAACATTTAATGGAAGAGTTGATGTGGTAGTTAACAAAATTAATATAAATACACATTTAATCTTCATTACTTGTACATTCTATCAATCTTAATTTTAATTTATTCAGTAAATTTAATCATCTAATATGATAATGACACATGTCAAAAGTGGATTCAAAGTCAAACTAATTGAAGAGTTTGGGAGCACCTAAATCAAATAGTTGGTTTATAATTTGATAGATTTCACATCTATTTTAAATTATAGTTGATGCAATATTAATAGTAAAAACGAGTTTAATTTTTTATTTTTAAATTAAATTTAATATTTTTTACATTTAAAATCAATGATTATATAAATAATCATTTTAAATAAATTTTAAGATTTTTCTTTTTAAATTGTGTCTTTATAACTTAATTAGCAATTTATGATAAACAATTTTTTTAAATTGTGTCTTCACTTTTTTTCCTTCTTCCTTTGGTTTATTCTAATGCGTTTTGTTTATCTTCTCATCTTCACCCGTCCATGTTGATTTGATCAATGTTATCAGATAATTCAATCATCAACATTCTTTATCTACGATTTATCACCAACGTCCTCTATTAAAGAAACCAATATACCTTATTTCATTTCAACTAAAGGATCCGAATAAAAGTACCCTTAAATACGTGCTATGGAAATAACGATTTACATTTTTTTTTCTCGCTAGTTAAACACATTCTTGTGCATGGCCCGTTCGTCACTAAAAAATGTAGCATAAGTTAACTGCAAACTTGACATATTTAAAAGTTAACCAACTATTATGATTTATCCCCCAGCTTATCTACCTTCTTCCTCTTTTTTAAAAGCAGCAAAGGAAAATGATTCCAAAATTAGATTATCGGCTCAGTTATTAGCATTTGATCAAATCAACATGCCACGAATCTCACGTTTTCATGATCAATCCAAACCAGACTAAAACTCGCACACAATATCTAAATACCGATACAATTCCTTCAGTATTCGTAAGATTACCCACAAATTGCCCCAACAACAACGCTGTCTCGGCATCCAGCCATCTCAAAAATACAAGGCATCATATTACGGCCACAACCCCGACCATGTCCCAAAGGCCTCCCTGAAATTGGAAACACATCAGAGAGATCAGTACTAGAAGCAAACAAGCATATAGGAGAAATCAGGTAGAGTGCGTTACCAGCTGTTGGCTTCTTAGGTTTCACCCTAGGAGTCTCTTCAACCAACAATTTTTCGAGATTTAAGCTGTCAGGCAGGATATAGTAGCGAATATTGTTACCCGCACACTAAGGTGATCCAAAGCTACAGGATTTTCCCCCTTCAACGTGAGTTTCACTGTTTCAGATGGGTGTTCATACTGACACCAAAATCACCACTGGCTGCTGTCTTCCTACAGGTTGTGGCTAATGGATTGCTAGTCCATTACTAAACTCGGTGTGATTCCAAGAAACTACGATAATGATTAAACCATAAAACAAGCTAATGAACCATGGACTCATCGTAGGTCCAACTGCAATTCACCTTAAAAGATATATCATGTGTAAACACAATACCTTAACATATCCCCTGTTTCAAAGAAAGTAGTTTAACCAAAATACCAGCTACAAGATGCCCAATTGAGATGAGAATTATGATTAGTTGCCGTTACTCATCAAAAACAAATAAACAGAGAAAACAACCTTCACTGCCTATGGCAAATTGTATATAATATAGCTCTCAACTCTTCGCTAAACTGAGGTTAGGGTTTAGCTAAACACCAACTGTAGTGAAATGGGATAGGAGAGGGAAAGAGGTGGAACCTGTGATGGTACCGTGAACAAAGGTTCCATTCTTGAGCTCACTGTTTCATTGTTCAACTTCATCAAAAACCTGCTTATGATATTTCTAATCACTATTAAGAACCTAAAATTGTAGTTTCTTTCTACACATTCACTTCGTAAACAACATTAAATGGAATAATATTTTCATAATAATAAGAAGAAGATGAAAACTCGATAAACTGACCTGACGAGTTTCATGTTGAGGAGAGGTAGGGGCTGAAGCAAAAGGCGAGAGAGCCAATGGCGCTGTCAAAGGCAGCCGGATAGAGAAGGACCTGTTTTGCTGCTAGGTTTCCTCTGGACATGGGTTTTGGGGCCACTGCTAAGAGGCCTTTTTATTTTCTTTTTGAGTTTAACTGCGATGACGTCGTATTTTTGTTGTAAAATATTTGGGCCTTTGCCCTCATTTTAGTTGAGCTACAACTCATCTTAATACCTTTAGTTACTATTTGCAATTATCCCAACTTTATGTGCTATTCGATAATTGAAAAAATAAGAGTTAATTCCATCATATGTCCCCAAATTATGTCTCATTTTAAATTGGTCTCTAAACTTTTGAATATTCTAATTTCATCCTCAACTATGATAATCATCTAAATTTGTTCTTAAACTTTTGAATATTTCAATTTATCCTCAAACTATAACCCTCATTATAATTGGTCGCCAACATTAAATATTATAATTTCATCCACAAATTCATCCAAATATGTAATTATTTTTAATCATAGTTTAACCCAAACTTTATTTTTCAAACATATATAATATAGCTAATGATTTTATTAACATGGAATGTGATTAGCATATACATATAATTTGGGTTGAAATTGAAATGCTGAAAAAAGTTTGAAGACCAATTTAGAATGAATGATATAGTTTATGGATGAAATGAAATGTTCAAAAGTTTGAGGATAAATTTAGAATGATAGTCATAGTTTATGAATAAATTGGAACATTTAGAAGTTTAGGGGTCAATTTAGAAAGAGGATCATAGTGTGAAAACGTATGATGCAATTAACTCAAAAAATAACTATAAAAGCACTGAAATTTTAAATATTAAAAATTTAATTGTTTAATTTAAATTAAAAATATTTCTTTTTTTCAAATTAAATATAAAATACAATTAGATCATTTGATAAAGATAAAATTTAAATCTTAATATAATATGTGTATGCGCATTTAAACCTGTGAGCCATTAAAAAAACACAATCATTCCTATGTTTTCCCAAAAAAACGACTTATTAAATGCTAAATAATACTTCGACATATAGATCTTGGATCAAGTTATTATATGACATTCCCTCAATTAAGAAGTGGTATATGTTGTACGCTACTTCAATCTCCTTTGTAAGATTGATCTATGCACGTCATTTTTGCTTCTCAGGGCCTCCAAAAAAATATTCCAAGGAAAGACCTCAAACGTCTAACCCTTTGAAAAACTACGACCTTTTGATATGACATCCGATAAGATTACGTGATATGCTAGAGTTAAATCTATTATCAAACGACCATATCCATTGAGCATGTCAAATTCGAGTAGTCATAACGACTTTACGTCTGACATCAATACTAAGAGTCACTATAAAACTTTTCGATCAAGATTGAGAGAAGGATTTGAAACATCTTTATTTTTAATTTATCTTCTACCTTCTTATGAAGATAAAGAATTTTGATACCAACCAACGACTGTTTCTAATTATCGACTGCGTTTCTCTACTTAAATATAAAAGAATGAACCATTTATAATTATCATAATACATTTATTTCCATCAACAATAACTAATTTTAAAAGAGATATAGGTAGTTCAAATCTATGTAAGGTGATTTTTAAAATTCTCATAATTTTTATATCATTTTGTAAGCTTGGTTCACCATAAACTAGAAAAGTTGAAATTTAAATTATTTAATAGTTTAATTATATAAAATGATTATTAATTATAAAATAAAAATATAAATCATACTTTTTTTTAATTAATTTAGGGTGTTTACAAATGATAATATATATTATAGAGGCTTTCAATTATATAACAATGAACGCTTAAATACTTAAAATTTCTAGTGCTTGAACATAAGATTTCTAGTAATTGAACCTAAAATTTCTAAAAATAAATAAATAACAACTATTTCTTTAATAACTAAATAACTTTATTTGTGCATATACATTATAAATTTGTTCTATAATATTTATATTGTTAATTAATTAACCGTAATTAAAATTTATAAACATTATATAAAATTTCCTAACATATATTTCAACCAAACCCGAGTTGAACTTGAATAATAAGAGAAGGTGAATAGATTGATCATAGAACCCCACACGAGCAAACGAAGTTTAAAAATAATTTATTTACTTTTTAAAAGTGAAAAGATGGCACATCTTGACTCTTGTGA